ATCAGAATTATAACTTTGCATGTCAATGTAAGTTCTATCAAATTCTAACTTTTCAGCACTCACTATTTCAATCATCTAAATATTTTAATCAGGAACAGAAAAACCACAAGGCTTCTATAGATACATTTGTATTTTTGTCTTTAAATAGTTTAAATCAAATAACTTCCTATTTATATGTGTATTACATAACAATATACTTTAGTCACAATTACTCTTTAGAAAAATATTTGGATTTCACTTAGTTTTTCAATTAAGGTAATTGCAACTGTTTAAAATGAATTTAAAATATTTTTTCTCTCATTGAAAATGTAACCATCTCCACATTTTTAGATATGATTTGGAATTTAAAAGAGTTTATTATCTATTTGTGAGTGTTTTAGTTGATTTAATAATACCAACATATCGGCACTATTTACTTGCTTATACTTTGCTCAGTAATATATGACATGATGTAGAATTAGAATCGTTTTGTGTTTTTTTTCAAAACTAATATCTTGTGCCTTGGAGGGATTTATAAAGTTTCGTAATTCTGAATTCAAAGTGACACAGTAAAATGGCTTTCTGTCACAGTGCTCATAAACTGAATCAAAGTTGAAGTTAAAAAATAAAATAAATGAAAATATATTTTTTATGTCTCAGCTCATATAAACCTGTTCATTTAGACCATGCCATTATTGACAAAAGGGAAAAAGGGGAAAATAATAAAGGGAAAACAAAAATTCTAAAGGTAAAACACGAGTATTTGTGCCTCAGAGAAAATGGAGCATTTATTTTAATTTTAATTAAAAGTACAAAAAAAAAACAACTCTGAAAACAATGAATATCATACTTGAGTGTTTTTCAAATAAAAGAACAGGCATTTAGTAAATAGCTGTATTTTTAAGTGGAGAATGCATAGGTTTGGATTCTTTTTACATTTTGTTTACTTAACATAATCCTGTATGAATTTGGTTTCTCATGAAAACTAATCTTGCATTTCTATGCTGGGATATAAAAGGGAAAGTTTCACAAAGTAACTTTAAGAACATTATGCAAATGAAATACTGCTGTTGATGTTCCATACATATTTATTATCACACACCCAATATTTATAAGACTCCTGATACCATGTGCAAGATAAAATTTTCCAAGGACTTATAGAATATATGCAGAAATAGTTCTATAATAAGTCTGAAATAATAAAAATCTAAAGACTGCAGTTGTTTAAATTATTTTGAGCTTTTCATATACTTCATTAAACTGAATATTTTCTCATTGTGTTTTTTGTTTTTGTTTTTTTAAGATGTATGGGTAAAGGCCAGAGATGGGAGGGTGAGAGGATTCACTAGAGACAGAGCAGGGAGCAGAACAGGCAGATCGATCAACGAAGTACACTGCTGAAGGGATCAGCGGGCGGGTCAGGAGAGGTCTGCCACGCCATGTGGTCTCCTCCTGGGCAGGTGGAATCGAACTCATGCGGAAGTGGCTTAAGCTTCTTAGTGCTGTGCTTTAACCAGTTGCGCCACAAGGGAGGGCCCTCATTGTGTTATTTTTATAAAATCATAATGTCATTTTTAAACAAGTCACACACATACATACATATGTACATACATACACAGGTACATACATACATGCATGTAGATGCAGATGTACACACATATGCACACACTCCAACATACATACCAGGTAGGTAGGTAGGTTATTCGAAAGACATAGACAAATATGTGATTTAAAATTTTTGTATATCTTGAATGAAAAAAAACTGATTCTCTAAAAAATAATAATAAGGAAAATAGAAAAAGATCTAGAGAGGTTCACACACACAAAAAAAAGATTGCCAGCTAGGCTCACTCAAACAAGTAGGATCTGAAACAAAACAGGAGAAATCATAAGCCATGTCAGAGATTCAGCGGATCATGAAAAGTATTATGAACATTGCATGCTAGTAAATTGAACAACCTAGAAGAGATGGACAACGTTTTAGAAATATACAATCCTCTGAGACTGAATAGGAAAGAAATAGATAATCTGAATTGGCCAACTACAAACAATAAAATTGAAACTGTGATCAGAAGTCTCCCTGGGGGTGACTGGTGGCACAAAAGGATAAGTCTCAGCCCTATGAAGCTATCAGCAGACACAGTAGCAGAAGCCCTATCCCAGCCAGGGTGTGACCCACATGGTGCAGCAGACCTCTCCAGACCCTCCCGCTGCTCCCCTCAGCAGTGGACTTCATCAGTCTACCTGTTCTGCTCCCCACTCTGTCTCTGGTGAAGCCTCTCACCCCCTGCATCTCTAACCTAAACCCCAGTTTGTGTGTGAATAAATAAATAAATATAAAATAAATCTTTAAAAAAGTAGCCTCTCCCTAAATAGTAGACTTGGACCAGACAGTCTCACATGTAAGTTCTACCAAACCGTCAAAAGTGGGCCAAAAAAAAAAGTAATAGTCCCAGAAACATTTTATGAGGCCAACATTTCCTTGATAACAAAACCAGAATAACAGTGTTGCTAAAAACAAAATGGCAAAACAATATTGCTGATGAAGAATGATGTACATTTACAGCATTACAAACCAGTGTCGCATAAAAACTAAGTAAAGAAATATTTAAAAAATAGATTCAGCAAGTGTTCTTTCCAAGTGGCAATTTAGTTTTTCAAGAGAACAATATTTTACAGATATGGGTGACCATTGGTAGTTTTTCATTTAAAGGCTAAACAAATGATGACAATGAAAGCAAACCTATTCAAGTGCTTGATGCAATTTACTAGATGATCAGAATATTTATAATAATCATTTTGGTCGTTTCTTGAAAATCTAGCCAAATCATCCTACTTTTACAATTTCCAATGTCACAGAGCCACAGTCCGAATCTCTGTCATTAGTCTCCTAGATTTCCACATTCACTCACTCCACTGACCTATTTCTACCCTCCCTTTCTAGTTATTCTTTTCAGAACAGCCAGAATCACCTGCATTTACAAGGCTACAAGTAATTACATAGAAACCTAACTCTGGTCCCACAGCTTGACCTAATTCAAGTGCTGGCTCTGGCTCAGGGGACCCTTTTACACAGACTCTCCCTTCCTGCACTCAGTCTCACTGACCTCTGCCAGGACCTGAGGATGGCACAGGTTTCGCAGCAACTGACACCCAACGTTCTGGAACACCCATCATGAGACACCACATGGCTGGCTTGGTGCAGCTTTCAGGACTGCTGTTTTTTGTTTGTTTTTTGTTTTAAGATTTATTCATTTATTCATACAGAACTGGGGTACAGGCCAGAGATGCGGAGGGTGAGAGGATTCGCCAGAGACAGAGTGGGGAGCAGATCAGGCAGATCGAAGAAGTACACTGCTGAGAGGAGCAGCGGGTGGGTCAGGAGAGGTCTGCCACGCCATGTGGTCGCTTCCGGGGCAGGCGGGAATCGAACTCATGAGGAAGTGGCTTTAGATTCTCAGTGCTGTGCTTTAACCCGCTGCGCCACCAGGGAGGGCCGGACTGCTGAAATTTTAACTCAAAAGTGAATCCTTTTCTAATCACCAATATAAGATGCCATCACTTGTTATCCTTTTACCTTGCTTTATGTTTTCAATCTTGAATATTCCTTATCTCCTGAATTCCCAATGGAATCCAGGCATTTGAGTACAAGGACTATGCTCATTTCCTTTACTGCTATTTCTCTAGATTCTAGTCTGATCTGGAATTTAACCACCACACCATTAATAGCCTTGCATGACTGAAAGAAGGTTCGTTATAGACACTAACTTTCATTTAGAAAAGAAATTGTACGCCAGCCTGGATAACAATAATGCGTCCCTAGGGGAGGCAAAAAATTACATTGGAGATGTGCTTGCCCGACTGATTTTCTCCATCTATGTAAGTCAAAGTCAGAATTTTACAAATCTCGATTTTAATCTAGTTAAGAAATAGGACATTTTCAAACAATTAAACAAAATAAACATGACTCTTCATATTGTTTTCCTAAGATAAAGACGCTCTTATCGCTGTAGTGATGATATATAATAAATGTTGATTGATACAATGAAAATATTGTTTCAATAGTAATTCATTTAGACATAATAGAAAGCACGTTTGTTAGCACACCATCTCCTTTTAACTTTTCTTAAGAGTTAAATTCTTAAGATAAAATTAAGATTGCCACACATTTTTTTCAAATTGACACTTTAACTTTTTTTTGGCACTGATGGCAAATTTGATTAAATAAAAATGTAAAACTTATAACTATTTCAATATATGTAAACATACATAGCAACACAGTAGTGGTAATTCTAATACCTCAATTATACTTTGTAAATTTATTTAATTTCACTCTTAAATTTTATGAATTATTGATGAGAATTTTTTATTTCTCTATGTTACTAAACTAATTTATATTTAATTTAAATTATTTAAATGGATGTCTGCAAAGCCATTTACACCTGGTCTTTTTTTTAAAGACCTCTTTAAAGAAAAATTAAATGATATTTTTTCATTGGCTTGCTGCTGACAGAATAAGAATAAAGCAAACGATACAGGAATGAAGCTGACAAGAATTTGACACAATTTTTTTTGTATATGTACTTTGAAAATTCAACATGAATATATAATTTTACTGAATGAGATCCTGCAGCTAAATTAATCTCAAGAAAAGGCACACTTTCTGCACAATAGTGGGGATAAAAATGACAAATAATGTGTATGAAAATTGTGTTTCTTTCCATGATGATTTGCATTACCATATATATTGTTTCTTTGAAAAAAAATTCAGAGTCCCTGGGCAAAGATGGGAACAGCAGCCTAACTATAGCAAAAATACATCAGGTAGGTTAAAATAATGCCAATTATTGAATTTGTCGGCTATCCATCGTTTTGGGGTAGAGTGAACTTTGTGGAAGGAAAGGGAAAAACAATGAAAAATTGAATGAGGTTTGCTTTTCTACTTGTCATTTCAATTTTTTACTCTTTCTGTTCTTTATTTACTATTGGGAGGTCATCTGTCCAAAAGCTTTTGTATGTACCTTTTTCAACTTGATGACGCCTTCCTGTGTATCCTCATCTGTCACGATGTCAAACAAATTTCCCCCATCTCCTGGAACAATATTGTATTCAATTTCTGCATTTTCTCCGAAGTCAGGGTCCACAGCTCTTATTCTTCCAATAGCTGATCCAATAGGAGATGATTCAGGAACTTTCAGATGGAAGATACCTAATAAGACATATGTAATTCACATTGATAGCGGGTCTAACATGTTATATAGTAAAATAACCAGCTTGAGTAATAAATTCTAAAGGATGAAATAAAATTTAGAACATAATGTGAAATCAAAAGACAGCTGTCAAATATTATGACAAGAGGTATGAATTCAACTCTTCACTAATAAATTCTCTTCCAGAACTTTAAATGGACATTATAAATAGTAGAGTGTGCTAAAATTATTGTGAGGAGGAAATACTTGACATATTAATGACTTAGATGTATATAAAATATCAAATGTGAAAGGGGATAAAGATGATGTTAAATGCTAATATAAAGCAAACCAGAATGCAAGACATGGATAAAAAGGATAGACTGACAGAAACTTGCAGAAAAAGATGTAGTTAAAATACACATATAAATAATTACATAAGAATTTGGTCTATTTACTCAATAGTATAAATCACAAAACTAAAAATACTTGTAAAATAAACATATGGATAATAATATTCTCAATTTATATTGAATTTAAGTATAGACTATTCAAATTATGGTTAACAAAATTTTACCTGGAAGTCTATACACTTTTAAAATAAAGATATCTATTTTGATTTTTCTTATTTTCTTGGTATTAAAAAAAAAGAAAAAAAGAAAGTGCTGGACCCTCCCTAGTGGCGCAGCGGGTTAAAGCACTGCACTAAGAAGCTTAAGCCACTTCCGCATGAGTTCGATCCCCGCCTGCCCCGGAGGTGACCACATGGCGTGGCAGACCTCTCCTGACCCGCCCGCTGCTCCCCTCAGCAGTGTACTTCGTCGATCTGCCTGTTCTGCTCCCCACTCTGTTCCTGGTGAATCCTCTCACCCTCCGCATCTCTGGCCTGTAACCCCGTTTTGTATGAATAAATAAATCAATCTTTAAAAAAAAAAAAAAGTGCTTATTATTTTTTTTTTTACCACCAGGTGGAGCACCTATATTATTATGAATTTAAAACTGATCAGAAAAACCTAGGAAAATTATTGATAAAAATACCCCAAATTTAGGAAATACTGTAATATCCCCCCAAAAATAATTGCTTGAACAAATTTTAGAAAAAAATTTATTGGGTAACATGCAGAAAATATATAGTATATATTATTATAACAAGTTATTTTTTCATTCCCCTTTTTCTTTCTTTCTTAAAAGCATTTAAATAGCAAAATGATTTGCCAGAACACGTCCATTTCTTGGCCTGTCTTTGTGTGATCATGACAAAGAATCTGAAGAAATATCAAAAATCTGGTACTTCTGCTTACAACCAATGTCATGGGACATTAGTGGGTATTTCATGGAACAAAGGAAGTATCTTGAATTATTCCTCATAAAAAAGGGACATATAGGTCTATGCAGAATAATATACTCTCAATCCTCCCCAATGGGATATTTAGTTAGGAAATGCATGCCTACAATTATCAAACACCTATTTAGCAGATGGTTACTCTAGAGAGGCTGGGAGCTGTCAGGTGTAGAGAATTTCAAATTTTAAACATGGCTAACAGTGAAAGGGAGGAGGTGGCTGCAGAATCGGAAGAGAGAGGAGGTGTAGCTAAAATCTTGAGAAAGTGTGGCCGTCTGACTTAAAGTATGTGCAGTATCTCTGCTAAATTATTCTCCGACCCATTTAAATAGGAGCAACTTCAACTTAACTATTACCTTATAGTTGAGCTTTTCACTGAAAAAGAAGCAAAAATAAGACATTAAAATCAAATGAAATTATCTTGTTTGGCATCACCTGGAGACTGTCATTAATTAAGTTGAAAAGTTTTGCAGATTTTTTGAACTCTGAAGGTAATCTGAAGGACACAGATGAGGTCACATGATATATAGATGATGTTATAGTTTTCCAAGACTATATGCTGAGATATGAGCATATAGTCTATATTTTGTAAGTGAATGTTTTATAAGGTGAATAACAGTAAACACACAGACTGTTATTCTTTGTATCACTCTGCAGTTCTAGATTTTTTGTAAGTTACCCAATGCAGGATGCTCAGTTGTATAATAATTTAATAGCATTGAAAATTGTGATAAATTGAAACGTCAAAAATAGATGGTCAATGACACTTACTAACACTCCCTACCGAAATTAAGATATAATAGAAGTAAAACAGTGATTCACCACTGACATCTTTTTTGTGCATAGAAGTTTTAGTATACATAAAGCACAGATGTACACAGCACTGAATTTTCTGTTCTTTCTAGAACAGACATGCATTTTAGTAAGGTGGAAGACACATTCGTTAGGACCAACATTTCTCAATAAAATATTATAGTTGGTAATAAAGTCTGCAGAATATGGAACAAGTCAGAGAAACTAGGCATTAGTCATGTCAGATTGTTTAGGTTATGTTGGTTTGTTTCCAATGATTTGATATTTTATCATTTTCTAGAAACTCAACAGCAATAAAAGAGGGGTCATTCAGATAATTTCAAAACTGAAGTAATCTTCCGCTGTGCCAAAGAGGGATGGCTTATGATGTACTATGCAATTATGCTGCCATCAGCTTGCAGGCATCCTAATTTTGATGCATATGAAACATCTTAATGGCACTACCTGTTCAACACAGATTAAGAAATAAAACAGGTGACAAGAAATTGTTCACAGCGGCGATAAGAATATATCCTTGCATATTCATCAAATATACCTGCCATGCTTAAAAATGAACTGTGTTCTCATGGAAGACAAAATTGTACAAAGTGAATAAAGGTAGAGTTATAGTGATCACATTCTGTAACTACTTACAGACCTTTTTGTTCATTAGAAAGGTAAGTGTCAGTTATTGAATTGTAGATTTGGTGGGAATCCTCTCGGAAACTCTAACACTTAAAATGTTATACTTTGATTATTGGGGCTCACATTAGGGAGGTATTAGAGTGGATTTATTGCTCCTTAAGTACAAAAGATATACACTATAATTCTTTCATTTTTTAATTTTATGTATGTATGCATACAGAAGTGGGGTGCAGGCCAGAGGAGCACGGGTGGTGAGGGGATTCACCAGAGACACAGTGGGGAGCAGACAGGCAAGTTGGTGAAGTACACTGCTGAGGGAAGCAGAGTGGAAGACAGGTGAGGTCTGCTGCGCCATGTGGGTCAGCTCCCAGACCAGGGATGGAACTTATGCTGAAGTGGCTGAGGCTCACTTTGTAATGCTATGCTTTGATCCTTTGAGTCACCAGGGAGGGGCCCTACTTCTTTTCATTTTTCTTTTTTTTTTTTTTTTAACTGAGGACATTTATTTGAGGAAAACTCCAAATATTTGGAAAACCACTAAAAGAAATTAAATGAATATGCTACAATTATTCAGAAATAAAGATGTTAAAACCTGAATAAATTTATTCATTGAATGAGTGGATCTCATATTTCCATATTATATTTTGATCCATATTTTGATAATAAGAATAGCAATAAGAAGATGACCACTTTCTGAAGGAGAAAAAATTCTTCTATGAAATGCATTTTACTTCATGGTGTTAGTGACAGCCACTCAGAGCTATTCAGAAACAACATATCTCAGTGTCCAACTACACAAAAATCTTACTTGTGCATGACAGCTAATTTGGAGTTAAGTACAATTTTAAAATACTAGAAATATAGGAAGGCGGTTGTAGAAATAACTTCAAGTTGATAAGCATCTCAAACAGGACTCCCGGGTGGGGTAAGGGTTAAGTCTCAGCACTATCACCTCTAAAGCCTGAGTTTGAGCCCCACCAGGGAGCTGCCTCACATGGCACAGCAGACCTCTCCTGAATCACCCACTACTCCCCTCAGCAGTACACTACAGTAGATCTGCTTGGTCAGCTCCCCACTCTGTCTATGGTGAATCCTCTCAACCCCACACCTCTGGCCTACAACCCAGTTCTTCTATGTAAAAATAAATAGATCTAAACAAAAAGTCAGACATTTTCTGAAACTTGAACAATACACCATCTACTTGAACTTCATATACATTTAAACTTTAGAAAATGATGAACAATTGCAACAAACCTATTCAGTGATTGAATGCAAACATTAAATTGTCTAGTGATCAAGCACATGTCATATGTGAGATATAACATATAACCACCTAGTAATAAAATGTTCATATATAGATATCTTATTACTTAATCTCTTAGGCAAACACTAAGCAAAATAGCACATAAAAAGGAAATACCAAAATGTATTTGTATGCATAAAAAGGAAATGTACCTAAACTGTACCTGTTATAAACATGTATTAGCTTTGGGATTTTCGGCATCATTTTTGATATTTCTTTTCTTGATTTCAAATTGCTATAATAATAATATATCCTTTTCAGTTTTAATTTTGCAATATGCATGGAATTCCATAGTTGATGCAATATGCATGGAATTCCATAGTTGATGTCTAAATCGACTAAATTTCAAACCGTATTTTTGTAGGTAATCTATATAAAGCTTTATTTTCCTGCCAGAACAGTAAAAGAAAAAATGCCAATAGAGGTGTGGACATGAAAGAGAGAAAAGTGGTAAAAATTCTCAAAGATCATTTTACTTTTAACTGAGACATTTTTTCCTATATCTTGAGTACTAAAGGATTCAGAAATAAAATTAGTGCAGTGGTTGAAGAATATTTTATGTCATCTATTTCTTCACAAGCCTGAATTTATTATGGCCATAGAAATATAGTTCGTATGAGGAGCATCCTGATAACTAAACTGGATTCAGCTGTGTCTCAGTCAAGCATATTCTCAACATACAGAGAAAGGGATTTCTCAGTAATGACAGAGACTTCTCCTGTTCTTTCTTAGCAGGAGTCTAGAATGAACAAAATTGTGAAATGTCTAGTGTTTGGAATCTAAGCTTTGCCCTGCTGGCTAAATGGCCCTTTTAAAAGGTTATAATTTCCCAGATTTTCAGTACCATACACACACATTTTAAGTATGAGACAGATGATAACATCCATGTAAATGGGTTACATTGTTTTTAAAAGTTTATTTTACTTATGCATTGAAGA